AAATAAGCCTATTCAATTAAGAAAATATATAAATCAAAACGTAAGATTAAACCTAATTAGACTTATCGAATCAACTTAAGTGCTAAAACTTGACCTCAGAGGAATGTTTGTGTAGACAACAAGCTCACGAACAAACTTATTCACGGAGATGTTTGCCGTTGAAATTTAAAAAAAAGTGAAACAATGTGTAATGGACACGATCGGTATTGACTTTATAGTTCGCCAATACATTTAATGATATTTTTCAATCAAACAGTAAAATTCAATGTTGAAAAATTTAATAATATCGAGTAATAGTGCTGATGAGAAGCACACTGCAAATAAACAGCAATAAAGCAACACTTCGAAGTCAAATTTTTTCAATGCATTTTCACCTATAGAATGATATTCTAACATACATGTACAACATAGCATGTAACATACATGTACAACATAGCGTGTAACATACATTTACAACATATAACATGTACGTATAACATATATAACATACACGTAAAACACATTTTCATACCGAACAAATATGGACTAAATACATGGCGTGCATAATAAAAAGTTTGAATTTAAAAAATTTTCATGATAGAAGATTGTGCACACATGCATGCAAACTCAGGAATCAATCATTCCTTTCTTAGACTTCCGTCAAAACTCAGTTTCGAACTGTCTGACTATATGTTATCCTCTTTACCATTAAGTGTTGCACAAATTTGCTTATTACTTGGCAATAATTTTATGTTATTAGTTTGTTTCTTTCTTGAATGAGTCTCAATTTCTACACTGTATCATCACAGGCACAAGAACTACGTGAACATTTGTACAGCACGTCATACACTTGAAAGCAACATTGCTTCGAAGTCTTGCACAATCAGTGTTTGAATAGAGCAAGCATTCTGCTTTTGTTCGTCAAAACAATGCATCTAGTCTAACTACTCTTGATTTTACGGAGCTATCTTGCTGCCTAATACTCTCACCTTCCGATCTGTCTCACCACCTAAATTACGTCGTCTTGCTAGAATTTGAAAGGTTTTTTCTTATTTTTATTTTCAAATGTTCAAAAAAATTTCAATAATATTCTTCAAATTATGCCTCTTCGTGAAAGAAAAAATTCAGATTAATATTTGTTTGTGTGCATGTGTGTGTATGCATGTGTGAATGTAATATTTGCTTCGAGTTATTACGAATTATCCACAAATAAATTAAAACAAACACATTATTAACTGCTTATGTAAATCCTAAAAGATAGATATTCCATCAAAAAGACAAAATATATTTCCAATTTTGTAACCAACGTGACAACCATATTTTGAGAGCTCTGCGCACTCAAGAGTCAATCATTCCAGTCTTAGACTTAAAATCTACAAGTTATGAATTTTTAAACATTTAAAAAGTGTCAAGTTAATAAGAATCTGTTTATCAGAAATACAACAATTTTAACTAAAAATGTTTCACTAAAGTAACTAACTTGTTAAAAACTATCATTTGATTAAGAAAATTTTAACAGTAAAAATGATGCGTTATCAATAATTACATCTTTTCAAAAGAACAAATAACAAAATCATCGGAAAAAATGGTTAATTAATTCTGTTAAAAGCATAGCAAAGTTATATTATTTATTAGAAACCGATGAAGTCAATTATTTGAAACTAATTCTAAGGTAAAAATGATATAAAAAAACCTGAATATGTTTGAAACAAAAATAAAAAATAGCAAAATAGGAGATAAAAATGAATTGAAAACATTTTTTAAATGAAAAGATGCTGGTTAAAAAGTGAGAATGTCGAGTTTGTATAAAAACATCAACACATACTCACAACTTTACGTTTCGAAACACCTTTACAAACATATTACGAAACAGCATGTCATAAAACCGAGCGTAACTGCGTTACATTTTCAGTTACATATGTAGTTGTTCCACCTATCTTCAAGATATGATTAATATCTTGTAGATAGGTGGAACAACTAGGTTGGATAAGCAAATCCAACAAAAATTTGATGATATAAAAGTTAGAAAATAATTTAGTCTGTCAACTAACGTAGTGTCATTTCAAAATAAATGTCCATTTCCAACTTTTTCAAGATGATCCGACACTGAAATCAGATAATTTCTCTATTGAGAGGTGCATATTTGAACTGGTTCGAAGCAGTGCAGTAGGAGAAGAATCCAATCATCGTCAAAAGAACGGCGCTGAAGATGGCGATGAATGCGAATAGAACACTTTTTTCTTGAGAGACTAAAAATTTGGTTTTTGTCGTGAATTAATGAATGAAAATAGATAAAATAAATATTAGTATAATAATTTATTAATTTCTGAGTTGTATCTCTATAGCTAAAAACTATTATATTGGGTTGAAGTGATTTGGCTGGAATTTAAAGTAACTCTGTCCAAAACTGTCAAAAAGTTTTATCAAAAAAGCGTTAAAAGACAGACACAATTCAAATTAAAGCAACAAATGAATTACTACCTTCACAAGTGTGTTGATCTTTGTTAAAATATCCATTGTTACACGAGCAGCTGTAAGTGCCAACGTTGTTGACGCACGAAGAAGTGGATGAGTTGCAGGAGTGAGTGTCTGTCAGGCATTCGTCCAGGTCTGTGTGGTGTGTTGCAGTTGAGTATTCAAATTGGGTTGAGGAAATAATGGGTTTTGATTTGTCATTTTGGGTGAATTGTTATAAAAATAAGTTGTAGCATTTTACATAACACTTCTTTTACTGAAAATACATTAAAGTTTAATAGATCTATAAAAAATGAAACCGAGGAATAAAAATATTTCTGAATCTAATAATGTCGCCGTGAAAATTTAAAAAAAAATTTTTAAAAACCTCATATTTATTTCAAATAAAGCCCCGACCTTCACAGGTCCACTTGTTTTTACTGGAGAAGCCCTTGAAGCACGAGCAACTGTACGTCCCAATCTGGTTGACGCAAGTTGAAGTTTGAGCATCGCAAACATTCGTCCCGACGTTCAAACACTCGTTGACGTCTGTGAGTTTTTATGATTGCTATTGTCATGAAATTGTTCGTTATGTAACGGAAATGTTTCGAAGTCTGAAAAACTCATGAAATAAAAAATATTCATCGAAATTGTTTACCTGAACAAACATTGTTTACTCTTGTGTAGCCGGATGAACAGTTACAAACGTACGAACCAACGGTGTTCAAGCAGGTTTCAATCACTTTAGCACATTTGTGCTTGTTTTGGGAGCACTCGTCAACGTCTGCAGGTTTGGTTTTATTTAAAATTTTTTTGATGAATGTTGAAAGAGTATTTGTAATAGTTTAATAGTCAACAAACTCGAAAATGTCAAATGTCTCGTGCATAATCATTCTAAATTTGATAAAAGATGCTTTGATGCTGAAAATTATCGCAGTTTGTAATAACTTTTTCACAATCGAGTAACATTGAGTCAACCTTATCTTAAATAAAAGCAATTAAATATCGTTACAAAACGTTATCGTGTGAGGAATAGCCCAAACCTGCACACGTCCATTGATTTATGTTATAGAAACCATTCAAACATGTACAGTTGTATGTTCCAACTTTGTTCAGGCATGTTGACGTAGCGTTATCACACGCGTATGAACTATTCAAACACTCGTTTATGTCTAAGTTTTATTTTTTTTGAAATATTTTGATTAAAATAATAATAATTGGAATGATTTGATTAAAAATTTAACCTGTGCAAACGCCGTTCACCTTCCGATAACCCGGCAAACACGGGCAAACGAACGAACCAATGGTGTTGACACAAACTTCCGTTAGGCTTGAACAGTTGTGTCTGTTTTTGGCGCATTCATCGATGTCTTTGAAGAAAATTTTAAAATATTTAATTTTTAAATTTATACTGAACTCTAATATTTAGCGAATTCTGGAAACATGATTGTTTCATTTATATAATAACAAAATAGTAGAAACAATTTGTAAATTTAGAAGTGTTTTAAAAAAGATTTGCAATTTTCAGATTAAAAAAACATTGCAGACAAAACTACCAACCCTCACAAGTCCATGGATTCTTGCTGTAGAATCCACTCAAACAGTCGCATCTGTACGACCCATTCTGGTTGTTGCAAATCGATGATTCGTTGTCACAGGCGTTCAAGAGTGTGAGGCATTCGTTTATATCTATCAGTAAAATGTCATATAGGCTTAAAATTCAAAAATGTCTCATTCGACTAGCTTATTCACAGTCAGTAATTATTTATGTTAAAATATGTTGTTAATTTTTATATAAAAAAAAAAAACAAAAGATCAAAAAGGTAATGTAATGATGAAGTTTTTAGTATTTGTAAAAAGTAAATTCTACTGAGGGTTTTGGGCATAAATGAAAAATAACTTCACCAATGCAATCGTGGTAGACCTCTTTGAATCCATCTGGACAGATGCAGACGTATGAGCCGAACGTGTTTATGCATGTGTCTATAGGTTTCGTGCAGTTGTTCTGCTTGGTGAAACACTCATCAATGTCTGAGTTTCGAGAAATTAAATTATTATTATTATTATTACGCTAAACAAAGGCGAAGACGAAACGTCCCTGTGCCTTCTCAAAACTGAGACAATTTTAAAACAATAAACTAAATAAACCTATGAGTCTATACTGAATAAATTTAAAATAATTAATGTTCTCATATGTCAAATAATGTATTAAACCTTGTATAATAAAAAAAAGATAATAAAAAAAACAAATATAAATAAATAAATTTATCACATATTCTAATCAATAAATTGACGATAATATCGATACATACTGATAAAAAAAATTGAATATATCCCAATCTCACAAATAGCCAATATCACCTCAAGTATCATTTGCCCTCCTATCATAAATGTAATAAATAAAAGTTTATTAACAAAATTTTCTACAAAATTCTTCCAAAATTCAGTTTTTGTATAAGTTAAATAGCATACTATTTAAAGAACAAAAACTTCAACCTTTGCAAGTCCACTGGTCCTTATTATAGAAGCCAGTCAAACATGTGCAGTTGTAGGAGCCTGGAAGATTCACGCATGATGAAGTTGCATTGTTGCACAGATTTGAACTGTTTGAACATTCATCTATGTCTGTAGTTGTTTTGAAATTATTTTCAAATAACAATCTTCTTTAAATTTTTAATAGTGTGTTGAAAAATATTTTACCTTGGCAAGAACTACTAATCAGTTGATAACCAGGTCGACACAAGCACTGATATGAACCAATAGTGTTAAGGCAGTACTGAGTTGTTAGATCGCATGGAGTTGAAGTTGCACATTCGTCGATATCTAAATATATTTCATATTTATTGAATTTCCAATGAAATTTTCTCATGATTGAGAGCTTAAAAATATGTTCAACCTATGCAGACGGTGTAATTAGTTGGATGAGTTGGATGTTCGTAGCCAGTTTTGCAGTTGCATTCGTAATCTCCATTCACAACTATACAACTGGAAATCGTGTTGTTGCATAAGTTTGGAAAAACATTGCACACATTGTTGACTGTGAAAAAATTAAATTGGACGGAACTTATTTCCAAAATATTTGCAAATGTTTAAAGTTCCATACCCAGCTGACAGTAATCGTTGTAGAAATATTTCATGTAGCCAATCCTACAAACGCATTCCGTCATGACGGTCGATCCAATTTGGAACGAGGAGCATGGGTGGATGCCACAATCACCGTTGTAGACACCGCAATCTTCAATTTTCCGAAAATAAATTCTATAAAAATTTAGTAATGAGCTCGCCTAAAAATTATTTGAAAGCCTTCCTACTAAATAACTGCAGAAGTAATTGACAATTACTTCTCAAGTCACAGGCAGGTCCATACCACCCTGGCAGACAACTTGACGGATTACACGTCATATCTGGTGTCAGACTGTTTGGAGTGGTACAATGATGGACTTGTGAGCAGCTTTGGCTTGTCCCGAGTTGGTTGCAAACTGATTGGCGGAAATAATAAAGTTGATATTTTTTCAAAAATAATGTGAACTTGGATGAGTTGTTTGATTTCTCAACGATTAAACTGCTAACGTGAATATATGCTGTTACTTGACGGTCCACCACACATTTCTGTTGCGTTTCCGTCGCATGAAGCGTTGCAGATATTTTCGGAAATCTTTCCATACTTTCCGTACGTGTTTCCACAGTAACAAAATGCACTGTTCTGGTCGTAGTATATATTTTCATAATTTCTCAAAGGTATCGACAAAAAACACACAATGCATGAAAATAGACGCAAACCAGAGCATCACACACACACGCGTTGCATGTGATAGATTTGGATCTATTTGAATTCGAACCTGTAACTGCCACAGCAACGCTAAGAAACTTAACTATTACACAAGCGCTTTTCTCATTTGACACTACTTTATTGTAAGATAGTTTACTTTAAACCTGCACTCCAGCGTACGAGAAGCCGTTTTCTAAGCAGTGAGTTAAGCATATTTCAATTGTCAATGTCCCTGAAAACGGTATCGATTCCAGGTTGAGATCTCTGTTGATTAGGGTGCTACCAGCATCCAGATAGCATCCCATATATCCTGGGCTGGGTTGTGCTGAAGAACGTTAAAATAGTAAGACCAATAAAATTTAAATAAAATATATAAATAGTAAGAAATGAAAATTATAAAATTAATTTCTGGTGTAAATTCGTATGGCATCAGCCCACTTGAATAAACAGCGTTCAGATCAGTCTCGTCGCAGACTCCAGTGACTGAGTTGCAGTAGGAGAAGCAAGAGGAGGATGGGTAGAGATCCGCTGGAGTGACTGCCGCACAAAAACACCAATGTCTTTCCTTTTCGCATTGATTTTCAAAATATCGAATTAGATACACATATTTAAGAGACATACATGTGTGCGTGTGTTTGTACTCAGATATTTTATATTTATCAGATGTCGTTAGTTCGTACCCTGATGGTAGCGTATGGATAGTTCATTTCCTTACACAATGTGATGCATATATCAAGGGAGGATTCGTGGAAGGTAGCCTGCTTTTGAAAGGTCCTGAAACAACCGACATACTTGTACACAGTGTTTTCTAAGAGAAAAAATGTTTACAAATAAATTACAAATAAAAAAATTGTTTTGTAATTAAAACTATACTCAACCAAATCCGTAGACTTCAAGTTCTGAAAATTTCATGGTGCCAAGAGTGGTAGCCAAAGTACTAGATTGTTGGACTATCACGTATCTGTAAGTTTTATTTCCGTAGTTACAATCAACTCTCAGCGGTTGGGCTGAGGCGCTATAAGTTATTGGTCCAGTGGTGCAATTATCGTAGGTCCCTCGTATCGCAACAACTGAGTTTTGATTCACCGTGTCCGATAACCCAACAACGAAGCTTGCCATGCCTTTAAATATATGACAGTAATTAAAAATTAAATATCAACTGTTGCCAACAGCACATTTATTTTACAAACTTTGATCAATTGTGTATAAAACAGCGTACAAAACTTGATAATTTCGTGTCAAATCAACTATGAACCAGTTCTTAACGGGTGCTGTTTCGGTCCCCAATTTACAGAAATTGCTACTTCCTTTGATTCCGTCAACACAATTGTATGCGATGTTTGGTGAAAAAGGTGTGCTCATATAGGCAGGCTTCTTGAGTGCCACATTTTCATATTGCAAAAAACTTTCTGCAAATTTTTCAATACGTTACAAGTATTTTATTTCTTTTTTTATATGAAAAATAGCTTCTTTCAAAGTGTTGGCAACAAAACCAACCATTGGTATAAACTTCCATCTCGATGAATTGAACGGCTTTATGCCCTAAATCTGTCACATATTGCTCGACCTGCAACGATTGCTGTATAATAACGAATCTGTAAAATTTTTCTTGGTCAACGCAGTTCACACTCATTACTTGACCAGCTGTTGTAACTTCTACCGGCCACTGCCCACACAGGTCATAATTTCCTCGAATTGTTGCTGTCGAGTTAACAGCTGCATCAAAATAATTTGTCAGTCCGACGATGAAGTAGTTCATACGGTTATCTAAAACGTTTCAATCGATTTCAAATTTAATTTCTAATGTTTAAATATTTTCGTGATTTTTAAACTTAAAGCAAACTCACAGCAAAATGGAACGATGGTACAAGCCTGATCCGCCCTGTTGAAGACCGTAACAAACTTGGCCTGGTACGCATTCACGAGATCAACCACAAACCATCCTGAATATGGAAAATTAGCTCCATTAGTGCGAACAAAGTTGATTAGGCTGGCGTTATCGCCATCAACTCCGTATTCAGCTATGTAAGATGAGTAAAGAGAGGAGATGAAGGCAGGTTTCTTCAACGCCACATTCACGTACACCGCTGATGAATAATAAAAAAAAATTTTCAATTATTTCGACTGTTAAGTTATTTTTACGACAAAAAGTTTCAAACTCTACCTTCAAGTGCCATGAGAAAGCTCAGAAGCAAAATTATTAAATAATACAAATAATTAAACTTCATATTTTTAAATTTTAGAATTTTGCGTTTACTTCGAATAAACTTTATTACATATTACCGTTATCTTTAAAATTAACAGAAATAACTAAATTTAAAAATATTTCTCATAAACTTCACTATCAATAACAGACCGATAAAACATTAAGGTTCCACCGTAATACCATATAAACCTCAGTTAACAGCACACATTCAGCAAGTAGTTTGTTAGCTAGATAGATATGCAAGATAGTTAGTTGCTCGAGTAGGTACTGGCGAGAGAGTAGCAGCTAGACAAAAACCAAGGAGGTTCTTGCTCATAGAGTTTCTTCACAGGTGTCATTATGTTTGTGCAACAAAGGTGACATTCAGACATTTAAAATCGAATCTTATTATAAAAAATCTAGTCACTAAAGTTAATACATGGCAATATGTTGTACATAGTTGTAGAGGCAGCAAATAGTTGCACAAGAATTCTTCAAATTCATCCAGCCAAAGCCACATTATAGAGCTGGTAGCCCACAAAAGTCTGTTAAGGATCCCGTTGGCAAAGCTTGCTAAGCTAGTAAATAAATAAATTTTAACTCTACAAATCTAATAGTTATCTGTTTATAATGTTGGTGTACATATGCAAGCGAATGTAATTCATAAACTCGGTCGGTTGGTGCAAGCTAACATTATCACACTGAAGAATCAAATCAACCCAAGCGTATCGAGTCTTAAATTTAAAGTCTCATTTGTACATTTTGTCAGAAGTTTAGCAACAAAATAAGCCCATTTTCAATTAAGAAAATATATAAATCAAAGCGTAAGATTAAACCTAATTAGACTTATCGAATTAACTTAAGTGCTAAAACTTGACCTCAGAGGAATGTTTGTGTAGACAACTAGCTCACGAACAAACTCATTCACGGAGATGTTTGCCGTTGAAATTTAAAAAAAAAGTGAAACAATGTGTAATGGACACGATCGGTATTGATTTTATAGTTCGCCAATACATTTAATGATATTTTTCAATCAAACAGTAAAATTCAATGTTGAAAAATCTAATAATATTGAGTAATAGTGCTGATGAGAAGCACACTGCAAATAAACAGCAATAAAGCAACACTTCGAAGTCAAATTTTTTCAAGTTATTTTATCCGCTGCCCGGCTGCATTTTCACCTGTAGAATGATATTCTAACATACATGTACAACGTAGCATGTAACATACATGTACAACGTAGCATGTAACATACATGTACAGCATATAACTTATATAACGTACACGTAAAACCTATGGACTAGGAGCTAAGTAAAAGTGTTACCATAAGAACAACTTTTGATTGGCTGCTAACAGTATAATATTAAAAGGCTTACTGCATGTACAACGTAGCATGTAACATACATGTACAGCATATAACTTATATAACGTACACGTAAAAACCTATGGACTAGGAGCTAAGTAAAAGTGTTACCATAAGAACAACTTTTGATTGGCTGCTAACAGTATAATATTAAAAGGCTTACTGCAATGTTAACAAAGAGATTTTATTATGATAATTTTGTTGAGTATTAATGCATGAAATTGTAGTACAAGAATTGGGTTATAGTACCGGAACAAGAAAATTTTTAAAATCACTTTAATTATTTTAATTATTTTAGAGGTTTGATACAAAAATTTAAACTAAAACGGACATAAATCTTCAAGGTCTGCTGAACAATCGCCGATCAAAAATCCTGTTGAAAGAGCAATTTGAATATTTGAATATTCATGCGTACATGGTATGAAAAACAGCAATAAACAACACTTCGAAGTCAAATTTTTTCATTGCATTTTCATCTGTAGAATGATATTCTAACATACATGTACAACGTAGCATGTAACATACATGTACAACATAGCATGTAACATACATTTACAACATATAACATGTACGTATAACATATATAACATACACGTAAAACACATTTTCATACCGAACAAATATGGAATAAATACATGGCGTGCATAATGAAAAGTTTGAATTTAAAAAAATTTTTATGGAAGAAGATTGTGCACACATGCATGCACACTCAAAAATCAATCATTCCTTTCTTAGACTTCCATCAAAACTCAGTTTCGAACTGCCTGACTATATGTTATCCTCTTTACCATTAGGTATTGCAAACGTTTGCTTAATACTTGACAATAATTTTATGTTATTAGTTTGTTTCTTTCTTAAGTGAGTCTCTATTTCTACACTGTATCATAACAGGCACAAGAACTACGTGAACATTTGTACAGCACGTCATACACTTGAAAGCAACATTGCTTCAAAGTCTTGCACAATCAGTGTTTGAATAGAGCAAGCATTCTGCTTTTGTTCGTCAAAACAATGCATCTAGTCTAACTACTCTCGTTTTTACGGAGCTATCTTGCTGCCTAAT